GGGGGGTGGTTGGCGGGTGTATGAAATCCATGGAGGTCGTAATCCACACACTTTATCTGGAACTTCAAAAGCTGCCGACTAATCACAACAACACTTTTCTGAAATGACCGGAGCTTGCCAATCGCTTGGGCCAGAAACTATGAGAAATGTTGCGAAGAGCCATGAACTTGCTCAGTGAATGCATAACTCTAGCCAACATCCAGCAAGGTTGGGCCTCTCATTCCTTCATCTCCACTCACATCATCATACAGTCTCAGCAATAACAAGAATCAGGGCGTTCGTTAACTCTGTCCCGTCACATGTTTCAATTCAGGATAGATGCTAGTTGCTCCTAAACCAACTGCCGGCCTCATAGTATAGGTATATATGAGACAGTGCGACTATTGTGCCAGTCGATAGCATCATCATGAATGGGACTTGAGTCTCAGGGCATGGGACTTGGGTCACGAGCCCCAATTTTCTAACTACAGTCGAATAGCACTCTGTCTGTTTGAGACAAAAGAACCTTAAATAGGTTGAGCAAACGGACCTTCAAGCTGCGCTTCAAGGTACCAGAATCACTTTGTATTGACTGCAGCATCTTCAATCCATGTTCAAGGCTGCAATAACAGAACACACAAACAAATGTAGGCCACATTTTCAGGGTAAAAGGTTAAGAGCACACACAGAGACATACTTCTTCCATGATTAAGTAATGAACTGGCAGCTTCGCCTTGTCAGCTAGGACCATGCGCTCATCTATGACGACAGTTCTTTCCAATGAAAGTTCAGTTATGAGACCCAGTTCCTTTATGAGACCCAGTTCCTTTTTGAGACGCAGTTCATTTATGAGACTCAGATTTCTTTCGGCTGAAAGGTCATTTATGATACCCAGGTTCCTTCGGCCCAAAATCTTAAATTGGTTGAATCCACCACTGAAGCCTCACAACCCCTTAACTTTTCCCACGGTTTAAAACCAATATAACCAGCAGGTAAGACTCTTAACACAGGCCCACAGGGTAATGTTTCTTGCCAAAAGGAGGCGTTGCCACAAAAACATTAAGAGCAAACAAGATGGGGTTTGACCAGCAGCAAGCCAACGAATAGGCGCTGTCACCACACTAGGCAGAGCCTGGCACAAGCACACACTGCCATCTTCCCCCAAATAGAGAGCAAAGGTCATTGCAAATGCATTTGGGGGCAACTTTCAGTCTACATACAGCGATAATGACTGCACAATTGCTTGAGCCATACGAGGAACTTTCAAGCGAAGAGCACCTTTGGTAGTTCATTTGTAACACAAACCCAACATCGTACCAAAAATACGCGAACCATTACTGATTAGAACAAAAGCACTTCTATACATTTTGTAGATAACTGCGAGTTTAAGGCATTTGGTGGAGTTCTACACGCCGAGGAAAGGAGTCTCCTCTCCCTGCTGCGACATGTCGAACTCCACCAAATGCCATAAAGATGGTAGTTATTTACAAATTGCATACTTTTCTTTCTCTCTCTCTCTCTCTCTCTCTCGTGTCCGTGTGTGTGTGTGTGTGTGTCTGTGTGTGTGTGTTTTAGATTTTCCCCACAACAGCCCCAATTCCACCCAGGTGGATAGATTCAGAATCAAAGCAGTCTATCCTACTGCAGACAACGAGAGCATTTGAGATGTCCAACATATTAAAGCAACTTTATAATTAGACAGTTTTTTGGTTGTTCCTGGGGGTACCGCTTTCATTGCTCTTGCAGCTCCCCTTTTACTGTGTGTGTGTGTGTGTGTGTTTTCCTCGCTGGGCTTATTCAATGCATTGCTCAAGCAGGTCCACCCAACACACCCGCCATTGACAGTTCACCCGTTTGAAATGTCCTGAAGATGAGATATGCAAGTCATAGCCAGATAAACTACACAGCTGATACAAACCCGCTAGGAATGCTTAGTTACATATTCAAAACTGAAAAGACAAATGAATCACAGATGATACCTGTCAATGGGTAAGATCCTACCTTTCAGCAGTGATAACCAGGCGTTCATTTCGCAGCACAGGCTCAGGAACATTCATCAAGTAGTGGCTTGCAGCCCACCCAACAACCTTTTCTGCAGCTGCAGCACCAGGAAACCGAGCTTTGAACGTCCAACAATCAGAATGCATCATACTTGCAGGCGAACCTGAGCGTGCAAAGTGCGCACGTGTGTCGCACAGTGCACCATTGCACCACACATGGTGCAGGCACGTCAGATATCGCCCAAACCATTTCGGAAAATTCAAAAGAAGAATGCTGTCACTGTTGTGTGCCGGACAATTCGGTACCAACGGACCTAGCTCAGTTGGTACATAAAAACTGTTGAAATCCAGATGAAAACAACACTGCATTTACCTGGGGCCGGTCCGTTCAAACTTCAAAGACCATATCTAAAGGTCGTCGCCCTTTTGAGAAAAGGAGAGAAAAAAATGACGGACGTTCCAATCAACATCCCAACTTCTTGTTTGTTTAATTTGCTAAAAAAGAGAAAAACAAATAAACCAGCTTTCCTCCCCTGTTGCTGCCTCCTTTTTCCCCCTGTCATTTGCCTACCATTTTGCCCTTTTTTTCCCTTCACAACAGTAGAAATGCTGTGACCTGGCAGAGCATAAAGCCGTGACGGAAGTGGGTGATTGGGGAGACCTTCATGGGGGACAATACCAAGACGAAAGGCTGTGATAAAAAGGTGCAAAAAGGCCAAGCAACAGGACGTCTCTGATGCAGCCAAGAAGCAGTTCTTCTTTGATGCACTGATTTCTTTCTGAACAAATGTTGTGCATTGCGCTTTCACAGATACGGAGGCAGAGGAGGACAAGGAAGAAGTGCAGAGACAGCATCACTCCTTCAACCCATCACCCCTCGCCCCTCTTTCTTTCTGTGCGCACCACAGACTGGGAATATCTGGTTGGTTAGCTCATTTTCCCTTCGGCAGCGAAGCATTCCCTGCCTGTTTACAGTTGAGAAACAATTGTCTCAGCGGAAAAAAAAAAAAAAAAAAAAAAAAAAAAAAAAAAAAAAAAAACCCATGGTGCCTCCGGATAATGAGTGGCGAAAAGAAAAAGAAAAAGAAAATACATGGTCCCTGACTCCCTCATAAGTTCATAATATTTTTGAGTTTTCTTAACTTGTTTAAAGGGCCACCATATGACAGGCGAAAGGTACCTAGCAGATTCTTCGTGCCCAGCCATGGATTGCTGAGATCGACAGTCAGAAGCAACCATACAGCATACAAGCAGAACCCGTTTGGCTTTATTACTGAATTCCTTTTTTGGGGAGGGAGGTTGAGGGTGTGAAGCAGCAATCAGTCACCTAGCACATTTCGAGACACCAAAAGACCGCTGTACCTCGAACACATCCTTGCAAATTCTTTCCTGTTTCTCGGACGATACAAGTCGTCAACAAAAAGGTCACAAGAAGACTACAAAGTCGCAACTCTTAATCTACCTGCATGGCCACGTTCAATGGCAAATGTGACCTATTTGCCGCAAACAAGACAAACTGCCAGTCTCACTGACAAAGTCTCGAGAAAGGAGGAACAGAGGCACTGACTGAAGCCTCAAGGGCGTACTCAACTAGACTAGGAACTGGAGCTTCAAGGATAACAGACAGTCAGAACAGCTGAGAGGAGTAGGAGGCCCTTAGGAAGCAGAGGGAGTTTTGGTCATGTCATCAGCGAAACGGGCTAATGCTGCCAAGAGCTCCAGGTTGAGTACTGAGGTCCCCAGCATCGGTTTTGGATCTATTAATGCAATGATTCCATTAAAAAAAAAAAAAAAGAAGAAGATTGCAGAAGACACACGATTCAGGGTTTCAGAGGGAAAGAGGTCTAAAGCCGGGCTACCAGACCTCACAGGCCCGGCCGCCTGGTCGGGCAGCTCTTGCCCAGGTCAACTGGGTGAGTTGAACAATAACAGTCAAAACTTTTTTTTTGCCCCCTGCAGAGGGGCATTTTTGCCCTCTCCGAGAGGGACCCAAATCCAGTCTTGCATTTCTTTTGGGTTCATGTCCGTTTTGGAGGGTCGGGGGGGAGGAGGGTGGTTAAGGGCCTTAAAGGGGGTTGAAAGGCCTAAAGTTTGAAGGGTGCGAGTCTGTGAGATGATTTTCCTTCACATTAGCCAAAAGTTGTTTGGTTTGCTATTCTGCACAACATACTTTTTTTTCAAAATTATTTGTTTTTCTGGGTGGATATGGACCAGGGCCCTGCCCTGCCAAGTTGCCCGGCCGGTCGTCCTGGGCAGGTCCTGTGCCAGCTTTGGGGACCCGGGCGGCGTGAATGGTCATCCCAGGTTTGAAGATAGGAACAGCAAACGGTAGATCAAAGAAGGCCAGGGGACAGTAGATCTAGTTTCGTCTTTCCGTCCATTTGTTTGTTTGTGGGATTGTGCAGTAAGGGAAGCTGGACCGGGTTTCCAGCCAAGCCTAAGCTGAGTAAGAGCCTCAGTACACCAGGTTGAGATGTGGAGGGATTCCCAGCCTCCTTTTGAGATTTGGGAAAAAAAAGAAAAAAAAGGATGGACAAAAAAAAAAAAAAAAAACACTCACTCTCTGTTGACAGGACTTGATCACGGATATTGATAGATGCCATAGAGTCACAATCAACATTGCTTCTGCTGAGAACCTGTTCACAAATCAAGGCAAAATTCGTTGTCAGACGGAGTCAAAAAAAAGAAGAAGTTAAGTGCTTTATATTGATTCCTCTCTCTCTCTCTCTCTCTCTCTCTCTCTCTCTCTCACACACACACACACACACACACACACACACACATGAGTAAAGTCGACCACTAAGGGGTATCGCTAACCCTGGGTGATGTAGCGAGTCCTTACCCATCAGTCAAATGCATCCTGGGCAGACTGTCGGGGTTCACCCTCCTGACGAGTCGGTGAAAGTCCGACGAAACAGTCTTGTACAGTTGCAATGATTTGCTGTTTTCTGGTCGCCTGTAGAATCTCTCTGTCGAGGCTGTACTATAGGTAGGACAGATTCTCAATTTTGTTTGGCTGAGGGCTAACCGAGAGACCTACCTGTGAGGGAAATTCGTGAGGGACATATCTGCAAATCCGGGGAAAAATACAGGCCTGGTACTAACAGGATTCCCTACAGCTACCCTAACTGCGCATAGCAGGCCCGGGCTACCCTAGGACAGACAGGCCCTAAGGGCATATTCTGATAGACGGTCCTATAGCCTATAGCCGGGTCCCGTAGAGGCCGAAACAGAAACGGTACTGGTCGGTCAGTCAGTCCGGTCTAGGTCGAGTCTAGGCTAGTTGTAGTCTATAGATAGATTGGGCACATCGGTTCAGGGCTTTTGGCAGTTGGTACCGAGTACATCGCTGCTGCCCTACGCATGAACCGGAAGTGGTGACGGCTCAGCGTGGAAGGAGACAGGCATAGCCAGACCCTCGGAGTGCAGGCCATAGCTGGGACCTGCCCTGTACTCTGCCAGCACGCAGGGGCTGACAGAGGTCTGGGTTATCGAGGTCTGCTGGAGGCGAGAGAGATTGGTGCCCTGCTGGACCCTCCTCCGGAGTGGGGTCCCAGGGGGTTTGCGCTGCAGCCATAGCTGCAGCTTTCTTCCTTAGAGGTCATCTTGTAAGGGTTTGGTGGCACTGCTGCAGACTTCCACCCGGGAAGTCTTCCGACACTTCGTCATCATCAGATACTGTGGCGCTGGTCTTCCTCTTCATCCTGTGAGTGGCGCTTGGCCTCACATATGGCATGGTCAAGTCTTCCGCTGTGTTTATCTCTCCATGTGCGGTGTGATACTCCTATCATCTCCCCTTCCTTCTGTGTATGTATGGGCATATCCGGAAGTCTATGTGAGTGAGTGTTGGCCTTCAGGCAACGAACAACCAGAATCATAACACAGTCATGCTTTTTTTGACTGTATAGCTACGACAAGACACACACAATGGCTACGACATGCCTAAGGCACTCTTCTGCCTATGTGTGGGACTCTATCTAGAATCTCAGGACGTTCCTTAATGTGGGGATCCGGGCCGCCTGGGTGACCGGCAGGGGCCCGGGGGAGGTCCCGGGCGGGGCACCCGGTTGGAGGCCGGGCCCCCCCAGCGCACTCACCTGTCGGGGGATTTCGG